GCAGGCACTTGCAGTCGCTCGCCAAGTCGTTTCTAAAAGCCTGCGCGGGGACGGTCCTGCAAGGGAAGAAAGGCAAAGTTTGCCGCGGGGCAGGCATTGTGGGACCCTCGCCTGAGGTGCGTGAGAGTAGTTACCAAGCCCGCCCTCCGCTCGCCACTGCTGAATTCCCGCCCGAGCCGGCGCCGGGGCACTTGGTCCCCTCTCGGCACCGGAGACGGCCCCGTCTGGTGATAGCCCTTGGCCATGGGCGGCGGGAGTCCCCCAGAAGTGCGCTTTTTCGCTACTTAGGCTTTGCCGCTGGGGAGGGGAGCGCGCCCAGGGCGCGCAGCGCTGACTCGGCCAGAGTCCGGGGGCGCGGGCACCCAGCCGAACCTGCTCCTGGAGGCCACTGGTTCGAAGCCGATCTAAAGGCCAAGGAGAGATTAGGATTTTTATGGCAGCAGTTCGGACAAGGAAAGAGTTTCAGAAAACTCTCAGGAAAGTGTCCCGGAGCTTGGAAAATAACCGAACCTACCACGGGCTCCAAACTTCGTCTTGGCTTTAAGTCATTTTCCTTGCCCTCCTCCTCACCCCTCACCATGGTATCCTCAGTCCTAGGAGAGAGCCCTAAGGACTCAAGTACAAACCACTTCAACTCCTCCCCCGTACCCCTGCTGTCAGACAAGGAAAAAACAAATAAACCCCGAGTGGTTAAAGCGGGTGCATTCAGGTGCCCCCATCCCAACCCACACAGGCGCGCGCGCACACACCACAACCACACACCCCACAACCACACACCCACACCTCACCACCCGCTCCGTCCCACCCACTTCCCGGGGAGGGGAGGGACTGGGAACCTGATCTTCGGGCTCCAGCCCTGCAAGTTTCCCCATCAATAATGTTGATACCATCCAAGTGCCTCCTCCCCCGCCCCCGGGGCGCCGCTACCGCCTTTTCGCCGCTCTTTGCTTGGCGTTAAGAAAACGAAACCTCTTCTACTGCCCTCGCAGCCTCCGCCCGGGTCCAGCGGGGCCTGGGGCCGACCGCTGAGGAAGCAGGGACGCGGGCCGAGCGCTGGGGCGTCCTGCAGTTCCGGGGGAGGGTGCCCAGGCTGCGCCTGCGAAACAGGAAGAAGGGTCTGGGACTCAGGCAAGGCCTCATCCCACGCCCCTTTTCAGACCTGGGGTCACACTGAGCCAGAATGAGGTACTTTTGCGTGAAGAAGAACTAGGCCTCGGAATGGAGAGCCTCCACACTCCCTACCCTTCCCAGAATCAAGAAAGGAGCAAAGAGGCCCAGAAACCCTTCACTGAGAATGGTGTTGTGACCCACAGCCTTCCGGCATAGCCCTTCGGCCTCGCCAACTCACCAAGGATGCTCTAGGTCTTGGGAAAACTGAGGGGACGTATTGGTAGAAGCACAGACGTCAAGCCCCCATCATGGGACTTTGCAAAACTCGCCAAGCGCCTCCCCTAGGTGCGGTCCTTCTCCGCCCGAAGGGTCATGACCCTGGCGCAGCCACTGCCTCACTTCAGGCCACCCCCATTTCCCATCGCGGATCAGCCCCTAAGTGCCAGGTCCTCTCGAGGAACGGCAAACCCAAGCCCCGACAGCCCGATTCTCCCGGTAGCTGTCCCCACCCAGGGCTGATAATGGCGCAACCCCTCACAGAGCGCACAAGTCTCTTGGCTGAGCAAGACGCGGGGATGGGCTCAGCCGTGGCATCTCACTGTCGCTTGCCGCCTTCTCGCCTTCTCTGACCCGCTCAAAAATAAAGACTAACTCCCACTCTATCACTGTTTGTGTTTATTTAATTATTTATTCGCATCGCGGCACGCGGAGCCTAGCCCGCTCCCCTGACACTCCGGCGCCGGCGTCAGCGAACCAAGGAACTTCGGCCCGAGACAATGGCCGGTAATTGATGTATTGCCATCAACAGTACAGACCAATTCTCCTTTCTCCGTCATTCCGACCATCCCCCTCCTCCCACCCCTTTCCACCTCTCTTCTTTTCCCAAGCCACCGAGGGAAAGAAAACAAACAAGAAATTAGAGGGGGACTCCGCGCGCAGAACGAGACGCCCACCTCAATGCCGTCGAAGACGCAAAAGAACGAAAAAAGTTATTAAAGTTTGGATTCCCCAATTAATTCTCTGCTCGCCCATTTTTAATTAAACATCACGGAGCTGCTTTTGCGTGTGCATTTCGTTTGGTTGTTTGTTTTGGTGCTTTTTTGGGGGAGGGAATGCTTTTTAAAAATATCTCAGTCACACATAGAGCAAGTAAGAAACACGTGTGAAGCTATTCCCGGGAGCTTCCCGCGGCGCCCGCGGTGCGGAGTGAGAAGAAGTGTTTGCGGGAGCATGAGCTCCGCTCGGTTCCCGGTAGCACATGGTGCTCCGGAGGCCCGGACTTTCAAGAAGCCAAGATTCTGAGAGACAGATGCAGGCGTCTCCAAAAGCGGGCAGAGTCGGGAAAGAGAGTGTGCACGTGCACACAGACGCGTTTGTGTGTCTGGAAGAGTGCGGGCTGGTGTGCTTGCGAGGACGCCAGTTTGCCGAGTGCGGTGTGGGATTTACACGTTCCCGGGGCTCTGGGGGAAGCCAGCGGCTCACACCCCAGGAGCGCGCAGATCCATCTTCGCCGAGGGATCTCTTTAAATATTCAGTGAGAAATAATGGCATTTGAAGCACCACCTATGGAAACATTATTATCTTCATTCTTCAACATCAGCCCCATTGATAGCTTCGTTTGTCTTTTTATCAAAATCTACTGTACCCAACAGGACCTAGGGAGAAAGAGAAGGGAGGCGGAGAGAGAGTGTGTATGATGTCAGGGACCGAGCGAGGGCAGGAGAGGAAAAACAAGAGAAAAGGCGAAGAAGGGCGGGCGGGCAGGGAGAAAGAAGGGAAAAGTCACACCAAGAAAAAAATAAAGTCAGCAGGAGGGAAACAGAAACATTTACCCGCACACAAAAGACTTAGACTTAAAAAAGACTGAAGACGCTAAGAGGGAAAGGGTCACTCGGGGAGCACGGTTCACTAAGGGTCTGGTGTACCCGAAGCTCCGCTCGAGAGCTCGGTGCCCACTTCGCGCGAATCGACTGTGCATTATTCAGACTCTAGGGCGCTCCAGAATTGAGGCGTCCTTAGGAGCCCTCTCTTTTCTCGATCTCAAGATAGGGCAGGATTGTGTATCTGCACCCCCTCCTCGCTCAATCCTCAGCCAAAGTTTAGTTTGTTCTTAGGGCGCAGGACTTCGGAAACCTTGGAGCGAGGAGACCCTGAGGCGCGAGGGGGAAGAGCTGGGCTGGGCCAACGACCGAGCCCGAGGTTCGCGGGGACCCAAGCATGGCGGAGGGAGTGGGGGTCCGGGACTTGGCTCTGGGGCGCTGGTAGGAAGGCTGCATCCCAGCCCTGGGAGATGGAAATAGAGCGAAAAGTTTGGGCGCAGCGCTCGGCAAGTGCAGAAGTGGAGGCGAGCTCCCGAGCGGCCAGGCAATCGCAGACAGGGATTGCCCCTCATTTCCAGCTCGGCGCCACCACACCGTAGCCCAGAGGCTGGGGCGCAGCCCCCTCAACGCCCCGCCAGAACAGGGAGCCCAGGGGTCCCGGGGACTGGCTTCGCCCAGGGCCAGGCTGGGCCAGGACGCGCTTTCCGAGGCCAGGGTAGGGCTGCAGCGCGCAGGGTAATCGGCGGTCCCTCCCCTCCCCCAACCGGAGCTGAACTAGAAGCCCAAGCTGGTCCCCGCTCTTCGCCCGCCCCGGGCTCGGCGGCGCCACCGCCGCCGCCGCCTCCCCGCGGAGTGACGCGCCCTGCAGCCAACCCGGGCGGCCGGGGGGGGGAGGTCCGGGTGGGGTCCTGGGCGGAGCTGGGCCGCCCCCTTATCCCACGGGCTCGGGGGACGCTTCTCCCGAAAACTTCAGCCCTAATTGTCCTGGGAATGTCCGAGGTAGAGATAGGGAGTAAGGAAGTAAGCGAGAGGCAGGATAATCAGGAGCCCATTGAGCGGGGGTGAGAGGTGGCGGGAGACCTGCCCCCCAAAAAAGAGCCCCAAACCCATCATGTTCCCAAACCTTTCCTCGATCCTCTTCTCCGCGCCCCCGCGAGCTCGGGATCCTGGGGATGGAGAACTCGGGGCGAAGAAGCGCCGAGGCAGGCGGCTAGGGGGAGGGAGGCCCGGTCGCAGGCGGGAGGCGGACCGGCGTGGGGCCGGCTCTTCCCCACTTGCTTATTTTTTTATGGGGGTGGGGGTGGGCTGCTTTCTGGTAGCTCTAAAAGAAACGAAGAAACACTCACGAAATGGGACGCCCTCCCACCCC